GCAACTAAAATCTTGAAATATGCACCAAAAATTAAACGATAAATAAAAAAACCCTAATGATAGTTTGATTATATGATTTACGGATGTTCATTAAAGAATATACATACAACTATACAAGTACCTAGTATTTTCCCGAAATGATTAATTAAATAAAAAATACATTTTGTAGTAAAATATAAATATTGATGTAAAAGAAGTAACAATCCTCAAATATGAATATATTATGATCAGTACCAGTGGTTTTAGTTCTCTCAAAGTAATATATTACCAGGAGTAGCTCCAGTAATGATCTCTTGCAAGACCATGGCATATTTTGTCGTCCTAAATAAGCTTGAATAATGCATATAACTGATGTTCAACATCACAGAACAATATTATATCTGAACTTAGAAAACATGTAACCGTTAATTGTGTGTATTCAAACGGATATAAATTCAACGATACGCCATATCAAAAACTTGATAATTATGTTTCACAGTGAAATATGAATTTCTTGTAGAAAAAGCGATTATATAATATAATCTGTAGCCCGACAATATTGGTCATAACGCTGACGTAAAAAAAATATATTTTTCCAGCAAGAATTTTCGCGGTGATAAATTATTAGTGAAACATTATAGTATTGAACTATTAACTAAAAAGTGTTGATAACAGTCGACACTATTATAGTCGTAAGTCATGAAACATTAAAAATATAATATGTATCTACTACCCAATTAATCAACAATAATAAACAATCGTCAGTATTATAATAGTTGAAATATAATTTTTTTCAATTTGTTTATTGATCAATATTGCACGACCTATGTAATCATTAAAAAATGTAAGATTACCCACATCACTAATGCACAGATAATAATATTAAAATAGTCACCAAACATGAAATGATAAAAAAATACTTAAGTTAATTAAAAATGTATATTTATAATGTACCTAGTAATACTTACCAAAACTAATTAAATAAAAAAAAATGGGTACAATTAATAATAAATATTGATATAAAAGCAATACAATTCCTTAAGTTTAATACCACCGATATAAGTACTAATATATTTCTCAAAGTAAATAAACCTGCTACCAGGTGTAGCTCCAGTATAGTGATCCATTGTGAAGCCACAGCGTTTGCCGCTCAAATAAGTTTGATTGCGTAAAACTAATTAAGCTCTGCAACATCACAGAAGAGTTGAATTTAAATTTAGAAGTCATGTAACTGATTACTGTGCGCGTGCAAGCGATTGGACGGTCTTATCAAAAACTCGATAATACAAATTTAACCATAAAGATATTATAACGTCGTGCAACGACTGAACATCGGCTAGAACCCTGTCCGATCGGAAATTGTTAAGCTCCACTGAATTCATGCCATCTAAAAGAAAGTCGAATAAATGCCGTTAACACCATACGAGTCAATACAAATAAGCATTTGAAAAATGTAGAAATATGCATTTCTTTTGAAAAATGCGATTATAAAATCCGTCGCCCAGCAATAATAATAGTCATAAAACTATCTTTCAGACTGAACTCTCCGGTTAAAATAAATAGTAAAACGTCATAATATTACGTGACTTTTAATAACAGCCGACGACAACATTATTGAAGTTATACAGTCATGAAAAAATAATAGTAATGTAATATACTAATATGTATACTAGTGTACTCCGCAATAGACGCGTTAATAAAGATTGTCAATATTATAAAACCATATTGGAGTATAGATTTATTTATTTTTTCGATTTCACTATTGATCAATATTATGTATAGGGACATTATTACGTGCCATGTGTAACCGTTCGATAAACGTAAAATTACTACCACGCACGGATAATATTAAAATATGCACCAAAAATGAAATGATAAATAATACAATGATGGTGACGGTTTAAAAATATGAATAATATTATATTATATTAAACGATTAGTGGGTGCACAACAAAAATGATTAGTAATTAAATAAAAAATAAGTTGTGTAGTAAAATATAATAAACGTCGGTGTGAAATAACTGGTGTTCCTGAAATATGACCAATAAGCAGTACCTACTACTTCTCAGCGGTTTTAACTTTTAGTTCTCAAAGGAATAACTTGGCATGTATAACTCCAGTATTGAATATTGAGTTATCCACTGTGAAGACGTCGGCGTCTGGAATGAGCTCGAATGCATGAAACTGATAAACGTAAGTAGTTAATAACGTTCGACGGCGTAGAACAATTGTATTTATACTAGGAGAATGTGTGACTGGTAATTGTGGGCATTCATAGCGATTAATAGCGATATGCATTTTATCGACAACTCGATAGTAATGATTCGTCCTTAATGTAATATATTCAACGACTAAACGTCACCAAGAACTAAATTCGTCCGATGTGTGTTAACCTTCGTCGAAACTGAATGCCGTGTATAGACAAATTCGAATACACGCCGTCAACACCACGAGTCCATACAAATATAAGCATTTAAAAAATGTAGAAATATGTGCACTTCTTGTAAAAAAAAAAAAAAACAGTCGATTATAATAATATTATGATCCGTAGCCAAATAATACCCACAGGTCGTAACGTCGTCGACGGTAAATAAAGCTAAATCTTTCAAACTGAAATCTTCGGTTATAATAAAAAGTAAAACGTCATAATAATATCATGTGACTTTTAATAGCAGACAACAGTCGACAATATTATTACAGTTGTACGCAGTCATGAAACAATAATAACAATATACTACCCAATCGATGGCGATCGTCAATTGTTGTAAAATAATAATTGAGGTATGAGTTTTTTCTTGGTCGTTGATCAAGAAATGTGTAAACGTTTATCGATTACCGGTGAGACGCACTTTTTCGCCGTTAAAAAACCGCGAAGCTAGAAAATTGATGTCTTCGACCGTTAAACGAATTAGAACGTGTTTAAAGGTAATACAATATTATTATAATGTCATTCGCATTAACGTATTATTGTTATCTTTGTCGCGAAGCGGAGCAGACATAGAAAGGAGAAGAGCGCCCAAAAATATCGAAAATCCCCCTCAAAAAATAAGAGTAGTATCTCTGGTACCTATATGTATTTTGTAGGCACTACATAATCTATATATATACGTCACACTTATATTAGGTTTGAGGAAAATAGAGTTTTGTACAAAATCACAGAAATGTTGCAAAGCACTCTTATTAAAATCGTGTGCATTTATTTTTAAAAGGGGACTGAGCACGCTGGAGTATATTTACGCAACTGCAGGTGTCGCAGCAGATGGTTAGTTTTTAGACATTTTGGGCGCCTACAAATGATCCGCGAGGGGCACGGATCAAGTGCAGAGCAGTGCAAGAAAATCGTATCAGGTGTATCAAATTGTTATTGATCGAAAATCCGTTTCGTCGGACGATATTAATCCCCGCTACGCTCAAGTGTTACCAGTTGGTATTTACTCGCAAGGGTAAAAATCACCCCAATTAACCTGCTAAGATAGAATAAAATGTTTTTTTTTTTTTGTAAATTTATTAGTCAGTCGGAATAGTTATCGAAAGATACCGAATGAGCTGATATTATAAACCCGTCGGAAACCCGACGACGATATTTTAGGCGCACGTCAAGTTCGACCGCGGGGTAAGTTTTCACCCAGCACGTGGTTTCCGGTAACACACTAACACCGGGTTGGCACTCACTAAAACCTGGTACAAACCAGCTGAAAAAAAATATTTTTTTAAATTTCAATTTCTAACGAGTCAAGTCGCCCGGAGGTATTGCGAATAATGCAAAGACGTATGAACACGTCGGAAACTCGACGACGATATATTTGGCGCACGTCGAGTTCGACCGGGGTAAGTCGTCTTGACACCGAGTGAGCGGTCACTGGTGGTTACAACATTGCCTACAATACCACAGAGTGTCGTCGTCGTTATTATACCAGTGATTATCATTTATCGAACGGATTGATCTATCGTAAATATAATATATAATAATTATATTTCATTCCATCCCGTCCGGGACGCTTTCGCCGGTGTATTTTTTTCTTTCGCGAGATCATCGCAAAAAAAATGCAATATCGCAAACGTCCGACTCACACGACGATCTCGGCAATCGCATATGGCCGACCGATAACTCGAGCCGCCGTGCGTATTATTACGGTCGTTATCCGTAACGGCGGTTCGCGAGTTCGTAAAATCGAAAAATCGATCGAACCCAAGCGCAGGCCGCCACCCTCCCCGCCGACGCGTGACGTGTGCGCACGCGCGCGCCGCCCGCACGCGTGACACGCTTCGGCCGGCGGCGGCCGCGTTACGTTATTATATCGGCTGGCCAACTTCGATTTCATATAATACATTATCGCGGCGGCGGCGTGTATGTACGGTTTTTCGTAATATTATTATTTCATGTTTATCGCGGGCGTGCGTGCGTGCGTGCGTGCGTGCGCGCGCGCCACTGCCTACGCTACGCCGGTCGCCACTGCACCAGCACACGCACAAAAACACGCACGCACACGTACGGCACGATAATATTCGCGTGTACACACCATTACGGCGGCGACCCTCCGCGCTAGTATTATAATATGGTGCGTGCGTGTGCGTGTGCGTGTGCGTGTGTGTGGCGGTCGCCCCGCGTGTCCAGCTGCACACACGGCGATAGGGTGAACGCCGCCGCCGCCGCCACCCCATCGCGCGTATATCCACATACACGGCGCACTTAGGAGCGCGCGCGCGCGCCCTCGCGCCATTGTCGGTGTGTATATAGCCGGTGCCGGAGGGAGGGTGTTTCGCCACCCTTCTCCGCCCACGATCCGCGCGGCGACTATCCGCCGACTCGGTTTTTCGTCGGCGCTCAATTACCCACCGAAACGGATCAATATATTGTTCGGCGCGTATAGTGCCGCGTAACTCCGGCCCAAGCCGCCCGGCGCGCTTTTGCCGCAAAAAAAACCAAACCGTTTGTAGGGGACGTGGCGTCGACGACGGTGGGAGGGTGGCAAAACGGTATGGGGAAAAGAGAGGGAAAAAAAAAGCCCCCGGAAAATAGTAGAGGAAAAAAAAAATAATAATAATAGCGCGACGTATTATATTATATTATAATAATATAATACGAAACCCGACGTTGTCCGCGCGTCGCGTCCGCCGCATGCACACCCAGCAGTCGTATGCCCGCCCGCGAAATCCCTAACGAACGCGAATAAAATACGATAAAGCGTCTAAATCCGAAATACGATAATACACTTCAATAGCGATCCATCGGCCGATCGAAGCGGTCGGTGAGCGCACACGTCCCGTCCGCCGCTTGTTTCGAGTGTGTCGCGGTCGAACCGCGCTCGATACCCCGATACGGGCAGCGACATTGTTTCGCGTCGACCATAAAACAAACGATATAATCCAGGCTATAACTTCGGTGTCGATTTTTCCGCGGTTTTCTGCACGTCATTAGTGACGAGACGCGTATAATATTTCTTGTCGGACGCCGTTTGTTGCGATTGTCGCTGTCGTCGTCGTCGTCGTCGTCGTCGCGCGTTACGGGCCCTGCGACTCGAACGCGATCGCGGACGATCGGCGGTGCGGAGGAGGTGAACGCGGGGTGCGGGACATGCACCCGTCGCGGCCGACGGCGGGCAGTCGTGGCGCCCGTGCCGTGCCGTCAATACCGCTGCGGAATCGTTAATTGTTATCGGATCCAGTCGGAATCGTGTTTTCGCGTCCATCGATCGGTCTTAATGAATTTCGCCAATGGATTTCCAGTAGCAGCGGTACGCGGCAGTGGTCGCCGCCGAATTCGCGCGCAACCGACACGACGCCGGTAAGGCGCGCGCGCACGCCGACAACGCCACCACCGTCGACGCCGACGACGCCGCCACCACCGACGACGACGACGACGACGCTCATCTGACGCGCGCGGAACCATCGTCACACGCCGCGTAGGAGGCAGCGCGCGCGAAATGTTTTCGGACGCCGCACCAGTGTTGCTGTCGTTCCTCCGGCACCGGCGGACCGCCGAATAGTGCGTGTGCGCCCGCACATACTGACGCGACCTGACAATATTATTGTAAATTTTTTTTTTCACGGTCACATTCCCGCGGTGTACAACACGTGGCGAGGGCGCACTTCACTTGCACACCGCTCACGCGCGTACATAGGTCAGAGGGAAGGGACAGTGCTGTGCGCTCGCGCGACGACGACAGTACGTGACACGCGGAGCCGGCACAAGAGTGACAGCGGACGTTGTTCGCCGGATGGAAAACGTTCACAACATGGCGCCAGAGTCGCCGCTCAACGAAGTCGTGGTCGAGACAATCGATTCGCCGCAAGACGTGAGGGCGCACGTCGACGCCGGTCGGCCGTCCGCGTGCCCCGTCGCCGAGCCGCCACCGACACGCGAACTGTGCATCACGCGAGTGCCGCGGTCGCAGCCCGCCAGCAGGATCGTTTGCCATGCACGTTGTTCGCGACCCGTCCAGCACGACGACGACTCGGAAGACGACCTGGACGACGACGACTTGGACGACGAGAACGACGACGACCACAACGACCACAACAACCACCACCAGCAGCACCATCAAAACAACCGTGGCCACCAACACCAGCAGCAGCAGCAGCAGCAGCAGCAACACCACCAGAACCAGCACCACCAAGCCCATCATCACCAACACCACCACCAAAACCAACACCATCCGCACCTCCAGCAGCAGCAGCAGCAGCAACAACAGCAACACCACCTCCAAAACACGGACCGATCGCCGGTCGAAAGTAACGGCGGTGGTAGCCGCCGAGGCGTAGGCGGTACGGTCGTGGTCAGAGGCGGCTGTGGCGGTGGCGGCGGCGGCAACGGAGGTGGTGTCAGCAGCGGTGGAAGCGGTGGCGTCATCGTCGAGGACGTCAAACAGCCCGAGAGCACCATCACGGTGATCGTACACCACCCGGACGAAGACCGGGCCAACAGATCGTCCAGACTCAACCCCAGACATTCCGTCAGCGTGGCCGGCATGATCGAGTCGCAAGACTACCACCGCGGCGCTGGCTCCGGGACCGGTAACAACAGCGTGCTCCAGCTGCACCATCAGCAACAGCAACAGCAACAACCGGAGCCCACTTACCAGACGCTCACGTCGGTCAACGGCAGGATGTCACCGCCCGGCTACAGCCCCAACTCATCGTACGCCACGCTCACACCTCTCCAACCACTGCCGCCCATATCGACCATGTCCGACAAGTTCGTGTACGGTCACTCCAACAACGTGTCCGGATCGTTCACGGTCATGCAGAACAACATCGGTGGCATGGGCATGGTGGTCAACAGCCCTTACACGTATGACAAGATGGGCATGCACTCACCCAACCACTATTCGCCCACACACATGCACCACATGCCGCCTCAACAGGGCTCGCCGATATCGCCGCAAAGCGCGTCGTACAGTCAAAACGGAGGCGGCGGCGGAGGTGGCCTCAACTCGCCGCAGAAGAGCATGTCGTCGCCAAACAGCTGCTATGACTCGCCGTACACGCAGATCGGCCCCGGCGGCCGGTCGGGGGCGGCCAACGCCATGCACAGCCCCGACCTCAGCCAGAACTCGGGGTCACTGCACTCACCGCCGATGTCCAGCTACGGTGGAACCACCACGCTGTCCAACGTCAAAGGGCTGACCACCATCACGCCGCACCCCGGCCGCAGCAGCGGTGGAGTCGTCGTGTCTCCAAGGCACTCGCCGTCGCTGGTCATACACCCCATCATACAGCCCCAGGAGGTCGTGGTAACCACGTCCTCGCCCTCGCCGCCCGACCACTCGCAGAGGATGCAGATGATGCACCAGCAACAGCAACAGCAGCAGCAACAGCAGCAACAGCAGCAGCAGCAGCAGCAGCAGCAACAGCAGCAACAGCAACTGCAACAGCAGCAGACCACGCTGATCAAGACGCAATCGATCACGACCACGACCACGGTTCTGGTGCAGAATGCGTCGTCGGCGTCCGGGTCGAACGGCAGCGGTTCCGACATGGAGGAGATCAACACCAAAGAGTTGGCGCAGCGGATCAGCGCCGAGCTGAAACGGTACAGCATACCGCAGGCGATATTCGCGCAACGCGTGCTGTGCCGGTCGCAGGGCACGCTGTCCGACCTGCTCCGGAACCCCAAGCCCTGGTCCAAGCTGAAATCCGGCCGGGAGACGTTCCGCCGGATGTGGAAGTGGCTCCAGGAACCCGAATTCCAGAGGATGTCGGCCCTCCGCTTGGCAGGTATGCACGGTACACACGATATACGATATAATATAATACTTTAATTTAAGCGAATAAGCACAATTATTATTGACATTGTTTTATGTATAATACGCACGCCGCTGCCGCTGCGCACCACACGCACACAACACGTGGTTATCGATTTATTATTATTCTTCTGCCGCCGCGCACGTGTGTGTGTGTTTGTGTGTGTGTGTGTGTGGCGTTTGAAAACGCTTTTTTTCAAACATATTGCCATTTTTTTTTTCATTTATCTCGGCCCAATTCCGCCCTCTCGACGATTCGAAATGTAATCATATCGCATGCAGTGAAACTACCATATCACGAAGTCTAGTGGTCAAAAAAAAAATAAATAAATAATAGTATTACAGAGAAATTCTTCAAACAGATTTAAATAAAGTATAGGTTCTGACCTTGTTTGGTTCTCTAAAATATTTCGTTCATCAAAAAATGTTATTAAACGGAAGTCCTTTTTAATGTTATATGGAAGTTTATAGGTATTGTATTTTGATATTTGTATAACGACATGACATCAATGACAATATTATATTGTCATATTCGATTCTACGACCTATTCGCATAATATAACAGTATATAACATTTTACCATTATCGCTTTGCTCGCCAAATGGGCACGCTCTCTGTGCCCCCCCCCCCCCCAACCACTTCACCCTTCCGTCGTCGCCGCTGAAGCCATCGCCACCATCTGGTAGTGCACGAGAGTGCTTGATGATTGCCTTCCGGGCTACCCCCCGAGGACCGCGAGCACCAGCTGCTGCTTAGCCCAACATCGGACATGACATTGTAATGACAGTTACCAGAGTTCATTGAACCCTTTTCGGCAGCGATATTCGTCATTCCAATCATCCGGGCCGGTTGTCTACCGGGTAGTGGTTTCGAATTTGGCGGCCACTTCATCAGTGGCGCAACGGTTTACTGTCAATGATTTTTGGACTGCGTTTCAACGCAGTGTAGGCTCGTAGTATTCGGTTTCCTCTAGCGGGCATACCGACAGTAATACCGGAATTTCCAATATTTAGAAAGTCCATAATATAACGAGTACAGTATCGCTTTTTAATATTTCATATAAACGTCAACTAAACACGATTCGAAAACCACGAGCATATAAAGTATGATGATTCCAATAAAAATAACCAAAATAATAATAATAAAAACAATAATAATAATAATAATAATATTTATTATATTATAAAAATTAATTTCATCCCGTAATGCCTATAGTCTTACATTCCGGAGTCTCCCCGAATCGCCTCACATTGTTGACCATATATTTTTCGCCCACGACACCTTACATTATTTTACACGCTCGTGAATTGAATTCTCCACGTAATTACATTACTACAATTTGTTTTTGTATCATTTCCCTATACGCGGTGGCGGGTTTGAAAGTTTTCTCTACGCGCTGCTCCGTGTATGTAAATGTATATTTTTTTCCAAACCTAATACTTTCATTTTTTTTATATTTTGAATTTCACCTCGGAATATTTTTGCCAGGACTATTAAATAGTATTAAATTATTTTTGAGCCTCAAAAACTCCCCTCTCTGTTTTCCCCTTGCATACGCAGATACCCATATGGCCATATCCGCATAACCATATGGCGTATCAAAGTGTACGGTCGTGTTCGGAAAACGGATATAATATTTCGGGACCGGAACCCACCGACGACGACGAAACCCGAAAATAAAAATCGCCACGTACCTATATGTTGGCAGTTATTACAGCTACGACGATGCCGCGGAAGACTCTCACGGTTGACACTGAATACACATCGACACGATGTACAGACGTGTAACTATACGTGACCGGAAGATATTTGAACACAATAATAATAATAATAATAATAATATCATCGTCGAGGTTCCCGTATATCCGTTACACTCCGGGGCGCCTCTCAGTCTATCGCACTCTTACCCGCACGCTCACACTCTCTATCTCTCTCTCTTTACACACCCACAACACAGGCCCACTCTATTGTGCTCGCTCGCGTTTCGTATACCCTATCCGCCAAGACAGGTGCGCTGCGAAGGATATTCATATTATATTATAATTCCACCGTGCGCCGAGCAGTGTGCTGCACGCCCGCGTCACCGCCACAATAACAATAATAACAGTAATAAATAATAATAATGATAATGATAATAATACTACGGTATTGTGTAGAGACGGGTCACATTTCACGGTGGACGAATGAGGTGCCATCGCGACGAGCGACACGTCGTTATACGTATTATTGTCATATCGCTATTATCGGGGACGATCGCCGCCGCCGTCGTCTGGTTTTCGGATTTTGGGGTTTTCGGGATTTCGGATGCCTATTATTCACGTGGCCAAACGATCGCGCAGAGATAGAGTTTATTTTTATTTTATCATATTGAGCATGTAATATAAGTGTGAAACCCTCCAACCGTTTAGGTATCAATGAATAACGTATTATAAAAACTGTACTGTAATGCGCGATAAAATTTTAGATCTTATTACCACCGTTTTTGTCATACATTTTTTAAAGTTAGTTACATTTTAAAAAGTTGAGTACGAATATTATAAATGTATATTTTATGAGATGTAATTTACAAACACAAAATAAAGACAACTATATAAGTGTACTAACCTCTATGGACATACCTACTTGAATCATAATATTATATAAGTTTCGTTTCACCCATCGATTGAATGATTTCTTTTTGTTCGTTGTGCGTTAGTTTTACGACTATAAAAATCTGACTTCATAATGTGGTTTACATAAAATAAAAAGAAACATGATTCCGCTCATTATCTACTATAGATATCTACCAGAATAAAATATCCGTGGACAATCGTCTCCTTTTATAATTAGAAATATATTTATATATTTCATCCATAATAATTAGTAATAACTATCGTGACAGTAGAAATTATTCGCATGCCTAAAAAATGATGAATTTGTTTATCTTACAGTAAAAGTGTTTAATTTAGCTTATTTAATTTATTATGTTTATTAAGGTTTATTATTTACCTTTATACCTATAATATTACCTACCTATACACAATATAATAACTAATTAATTAATAGGTACCAACTGAATATAAACTTGCTCGGATTATGGAAATTTAATAATAGTCCGATCCGACGATTAATTTAAGATATAATTATTATTATTTGATATTACTTTTAGTATTTTTATCATTAGCAATATGTATTTTAATTCCAGATTTGTAAAACAATTTTATCTTAAAACCTATCAGACTTTTTGATTTAACATTGTTATATAAGTGCATTCTGTATAGTATGGGAATAGTTCCTAAACATAATAAGCAATTACTATGTCCAAGACATAGGTAGGTATACGAAATTCACTTATATAGTGTTTATAAATATTGTAAGAAGTAATTGACAGTTTCATTTTTTATACTCAAAAATAAGAAGAAAAAGGAAAAGAAAACGGGACAGTAATATTTTATGTTGAGGAAAAAATGACTGACAACTACGAGTGTAATATAGTTACATCAACTAACAAGATTGTTTCAGTTTCTTATAAATATAATTTAAAATGTCGTCTGATTAAAAAATACCCAACCACATAAACCTACGCTGTCACATATTTGTCTTATAATTTTAAAATTAGTAAAAAAAATTAATTATGAAGTGACACCATATTTATTATAATATTATCACATATTCACATACCTTTATGCGAGTTCATATAATTTATAAGAAATTTAAAAAACTAACATAATTATATATTTTTTCACATCGTACTTACAATAATTAGGTATTAACAATAAATTAAACATGAAAAAATACGCACATTTTACTAAATGGGCTTAATATCTTTTACATTATAATATTACCTATTTACTTTTTTTTGTAAAATCTACCTAAGATTTTAATTTTTTAAATCTGTAAAAATCCTAGAAATCTATCATAAGACAAAATTTAATTAATTGATATAAAATGACGATATTTTTCAATAACTATACGACAAAAACAACAAAAATAAATTTTTTTCACGCTGATCAGAAAATGTGCAAGTTACCTTTAATTCTCAAATTTCTAATCCATAACCTTTTTTTATTCAATTTTATTTTGCTTTATCTGTTTTGGCTTTCTTATTTCATATTAATTGTATTATAACATATTTTATTGTTTTTATTCGCTTTTAAAACCATGTTTGTTTCACATAAATCGCTTTGTCATAATATATTATAATAATATCTTACTCACACTATCGCTTAAATATTATTATACTCATATTATATTATGTATTTATTGTTTAAATGAAAAGAAAATAGCTTATAGTTTTAAACTTTCAGATGATTCTTCTTCTAACCTTGGTCAAGATTTAGAAGGTAAGTTACGTTTTATTTAAATATTATTAAGTAGACATATTATTTAATTATACATCCAAGTATTATTATACACCTAAGTCCTAATAAAAGTCAATGAATGTAGAAAAGAATAAATAATTGAAATTCAAAAAAGGTAGTTAACATATTAAATAATATCCAGACCAATAAATATATTCCAAAACGATTAAATTTAATTTCATATGAATTTTACTAGGTTTTGTTCGATACAAACAATAATTATGAAATATCTAATTAAAATAGTTTTCAATACAATTTCTAATTACGTCAGACTGAAAGTTATTTGATTAGGGCGCGTGTATACAGTTTTAACTCGTGTTTATAATACTTAATGCGTTCCATTATTTCAAAACTCTCGAAGGTTTTCAACAGTAATCAGCATTCGGCTTCATAATATGAAATCACATATAATACTTATATAAATAAATACAACCTTCCAAATTATATGTGACAAAAATGATGAGGATCGCAGAAGAACAAACATAATCCCAACCACTTTTGTCACACTAAATTTGGAAGGCAGTGGATATGTTATTAAATAGGTATATCTGAGTGACGACTAATAAGTAAATGATAATTATTTTTCATACATGAATATTAAATATAATATATGTATAAGAATTCCCTCTTTGTACATATTTTTGGATAAATTATGATTTTAGGTGTTGTGCTCATAGTATAAAAACGTGTTTAAATAATGTGAAGACAGTGAAGACATTAATAATTCATATTGTGTTCTTAAACATCACAAGCGTGTTGGTGCCCACTGATAAGAAAGTGTATGCCTTAGAGACTTGAGTTGTACACAATACCTATTTATACTGTTAATATTCCTTTCAATTTCGCCATGATAACCCTAATGCCAGAATCGTTTGGCATAAAAATTATTAAAAATGAGAAGAAGAATAAAAATGTACACATTAGAAACGCGGTGGAACCTAAACATTGCGAGGAGAAAAACGGACGGGGACAGTGACCTACGTCTGTATTATCAAAGTCGCCGTTGGCAACACCACAAACGCTCGAACATCAAGAGCATCACCCCCATAGTAATATGAAAAGGGACTGTTAAAATGACGTCATCGCTTTTTAGAAGGGAGTGAAGTGAATGATGACACCAAACGACAAAATACGTATAGGGGAATACATATACTACGCGGAACGCAAAGTTATCGAAAAGGTTTTTTTTTTTATTCATTTTAAAATTCTAAAAACGTTAGTTATATTTTTGATTTGAATCAACGCAATATTTAATTTGAAGAAAAAAAGAAAAGCACACAAAAACGTCGACATGGAGTTTATCAATTTACTTTTTATTACCTATAAAAATGTGAAACTTCTTAATGTCACACTATAATGGCATGACGTTCCTGAATATGTGTACTATGTAGAATTTAGTCGACGAAATAAAACGTCAACTGAAAGTCTGACATTTGTGTACTACCGTGGTTTCTTTGTCAAATAATATTTTTCTCGGTTCCAATTTATTTTCTCTCGTATTTTGCGCGCAACTATTCTGCATAATTCAAAACAACAATTTAGTGCATTCAACCAAAATAATATAATGTAAAATTTATAAATCAATAAGTAATCGTCGATCTAAAACCCAAAATATTGTTTAGTTATCTGTTCTGTTCAATGTCTCAACTGACTAAAATATGTTTTTAGTAATTATGCAGTGCCATACTCTAAGGGCATTTTTTTGGTCCAATTTAGAAATTATTCAATACATATAGTTAAACCTATATAATAAACACAAATAGTCACAAATAATTCAATCGCCTTATATTTTGATTGCTTAGATAATTTAAAAAGCACGAAAATCTTTTCTTTGATAATAAATTCCTAGGATTATGTTTTAATCAGATTCTTATGGGTTTAAAATGTAATTGAGTATTAATTCCATGTTCTATGATAGGTATTACTTCAATACGTTAACAATATTATAGCAAATACCAATTTATAATTATAATTATAATTGCCGTATGCTATCTTATTATTTTTCATAAAGATTTTGTTTTATATACATTTTATGAACTTTTGATAAGCTTACTACAGGAGTGATGTGTTCGCCAAACGGCAATCATTATGATATTTTATAGTTTATTTTTCAATGTATTATTATGCTACCTATTTCAAGTTTATTTCATTACCTATCTATTATATTTTATTTTATGGAAATGTTCAACAAATAATCATAGTAAATGCTAATAAATAACTTTGATTTAAAACATAAATACAGCTTTACATCCAATCATTTAGTTAGCATAATATATTTTTTTCTATGTATCATTTCAACTACGGTTATGACTTATGACAATGGTAATATTAAAACACTTTTTAACAAAATAATAATGTTATTTTAGTATTAAATTAAATAACTTTTATAATTATCAATTATGGAAATTATTTCTATAATTAGCGAACCACGTGGTATATTAATACATGTCTAAATTATTAACTTTCAAAGTTTGCATTTGTTTTCGATGATAAAGCAAAACCATATTGTTTGGGGTAGAGATTATAATAATATGAAAACCTCTCATTCTGTAATTATTATTCATTTGAACGGAATGAAGTTTTCAACGTCATTTCATTACAAACAAATTGCTATTGCGTGAAATAATAACTTTTGGACTATTGTTTAAATTAGGGTTCCGTGTAAATGTTATTTGCATCGCTTTTCCAGAGTAAAATATATAATACTATATTCATTGTAACTTGGTCACAAACGGGTACTAAAGAATTCAAAAACCTCCAACAAATATCGATTTTAATAAAACGTTTACACTGTCTAGTACTTATAAATAAGTTTAAATTTTTAATTTTGGAAACTTTTTCGAGAAGTCAATTTTCAAAAGTCATTCTGTTATTGATTAAAGCATTAAAATAAATTGTGTTGTTACGGGCAGTGGATAGGTACTTTGTCCTAGTAAACCGAATTACCTACTCGACTATTTCAACACAACCCGCAGGCTGTTTCTTCTACATTACCTAATGTATACATTTTCTTGAAATTTCAGGCAGAAATGTCTCTGTATTTGACAGGATAGTATTATCTGTCATAAACATATAAATCCATGTTTATTGTACAGTGTATAAAGTTATAAGTGTTTCAATATTGTTGTATAATTTCTATACGTATTAAAAACTCATTTATTTCATATTTTTTTTCTTATTATCTTCAATAGATTGTTTTGAAAATAATTAGTTTTATAATAGTTGGTAAATGTACAATTTTTTCTCAATTTATCAGCACCCTAAACACCATTACATAATTTAGTACGAAAAGAAGTGTTTTCACTTTTCAGCAATCACAGTGTAGTATAATTTAAATCTTTAATTTCACCCTATTGGTGAAAAATAAAATGAATAGAATTATTGCTGAAAATACTGAGCTTGGTTTTTAAATAAAATATATGTTGTAATGAATAAATATAAATATAAAAAGATAAAATGTAAAAAACTGTATGTACAAAGGTAGATTCTTTAAAAAATATTAGATACTCTAATTTAAATATATGGTCATTTTACGACCCTTTATACTTTCAATGTTGACAAAATTAAGTTATAAATTCATGAACTAATTTATTTACCATACCTTTTACCTTTTCAAATTCTAATTAGGTCGCTTATGTTATAAATTTGTGAGAAGAATATGACGTATAGAAGAATAATTAAAAATATATTGAAAATTAAATAGAAATATCTAGATTTTTAATTTCCTACTCCAATTCAAGAAGAATATCAAATTTAAATATTCAAATACTTAAATTAACACATACAATAATAATCTGTAGTTACTTCAAACAATTGGTAGAAATAAGAAAAAAAAATAAAGGACTCTTTTCAAATTGAATTGGCAAGTTAAATTACGTTTTAAATTGGCCAGACAATTTTTTTTTTCGTTGTTGCAAAGTCAGTTTGCATAATAATATTGATCTTGAAGGATAAAATTCTTTAAATCCATTTTGTACATTACGTTAGAGTATAAGACTAATAGAGCGTCATACAGTGCAGCATTAACTCGCACAAAATACGTTTGCTTAAGGCTAACACAACGAGAACGACCGACTATATATATATATTTATATGTTTGCACAGGGAAACTTTCGTATACATACAATATACGCTGCATTACCACATCTTAAGAAAACGTCTTACATAGTTTTGTTATTTATGTTTATATTATTATCATAAGATTTGCTCATTATGGCAAAATTTACTTTTCTTAAGATCAACCGACTGTTCACTGCGTGAGGGCATGTGTCAATATTGAGTTGATATAAATATTGAATGATGAGCTGAGTATATTATTATCATTTCGAAGCAGCTACAACTCACATACGTTCAAAACATAAACATAGTTACTCGAAATTTGGGTGCGGTGATCCTAGCGGACGGACAGGATGATGGGCAGCTGCGCGTACCATAATGTCTGGTTCCCCTCGTTGAAAAACTAAACGATGTATCTACTAACAATATTATTAAGTGTTTGTGGAGGCAATTGACATAAATATTTCAATAAGAAAATATTTTGTGGAAGGGGGGGGATTTTATTCGCAGTTAAGACCTAAGCATAAGCGTATACTGTTGCCCGTACGAAAATTCAGTCCACCATGTCTGGGCCCAAGTCATCGAAGAACACTGGAAGCCCCTTTATAATAACAGTATGCTCTACCTACGTCGAGAGATTAAAAAAAAAAAAAAATGATTATTAATGTTGTTATTGTCGTCGTCCGTATCAACCGATCGATAAATCGATAAGCTGATATTGACCCAGAGACCAATAATTTCGAGGCCGCGTGCACGGCGGACAAGGAGACAACAAATCGATAAATCGGTGTAAGGCCACTCTGTCCGCTTGCTGTCGAAAACAGTGGACAACGCTCTCGGTGAGGTCTACAAGAGTTCTTGGGTCGTTGCGTCTCTCACGCGGTTCGTGCGTCCGGAAGTGATGTAATATTATTATTATTATTATT